TTTCAAGCTTCAAAATAATTAAAACAAAAGTTAGACGCCATCCTTCTTGTTTAAATATGAAACAGCTGTAAGTACAGCTGAAGATAGATAATGAATCATATAGATAATTAAACGATCAATCGATAGTGTTATGTAGAGAATGTTAACAGGATTTCATAGAGTTCTCACAACGATGAATTCTACAATGGCTACTTTTCAGGTTGTGTCAGATTTTGATCAGCTAATGGAGGAAACTAGGACTTGTTCCAGTTATAACGATCAAAGGAAATATCTCCTTCCAGTGAAACAGAAACGATTTCAAGAGAAACACCATTTGACTTTGAATCTTTAATCGGTTTTTCAGAAACTTGATTATTTGACATAGTCGATATTTGTGCTTCGCAGCTTATCTCGCATTCTCGACTTTGTCGAGATGTCATCTAGTTTCAACTTAATTATCTCCAAACAAAGTGTTCGTATATTTGTCATTTTTTGGAAGTTGTTCATAAGGCAGTGGAACATGTTCACGACAATATCGAAATAAAAGGGATCAGTTCGATCTCGATACTTGGATAACACGTTTCAACCATAATTTTCAGATTTTTAGCTCTCTAAATCATCGACTCACAAAAAGACAGTTTTTCATGCGTACATCTCGTATAAAAGAAAAAAATTAAAAAGGTAGACTCGTGAAGGACTACATAAATGCTGTGCTTCGCACCACATTAAAAAGAGGACACCGTTACATATAATATCTGATAGATTTATCTTTGTTAAATTCTCAAGAAATAGAGTAAAATATTAATGAAAGAAAGACAATATTATGGTTCGAAATAGGAAATAGAAGCACAAATAAAATAATAATCTAATTTAAAAATAAACTACTGAAAAAACAACTCAGAAAGAATAATAATTTTAATTTTTTTCATAGAACTTATAAAAAAATTTTTCTTTGACAAGTCGAAAAAACATTTGACATTTTGTTAGCCAAATTGATAACAGTATTTTTAACTGATGTGAAAACTATACCAAACAATTTATAGACTTGTATCCATGAATATTTAAAAACGAATAATCTTTGTTTAGCGCCTCCAACTAACTTGATCAAAGCAATTCTTATAAAGTTTTTTGAAGGATTAGTTCACCAATATTATCGGTAACTATCGGTTTCAGAGTATTTTTCAGTACACTTCATGCTATTTTTCATTAACTTATTTTTAAAAGAGACATGTTCAATTATCTAACATAATTGTCTCTCGTGATGAGAAAGATAGGAATAAAATTGTATGTCCGATAGTTTTCATTTGATATTTTTTCTGATATATAATTGTTAGAAAAGCAATTTTGTTGTAATTATACAAAGATAAATATAATCCGTCAATGTTGTGACTTAGAATAAATAAGACGCATGATTTTCAATACATTTTCTAATGAAAACAAGACGAATGAACTTGATTCGTTCTATTGTAGTTATCTTTCTTGTTGGATTGTTTTTCTTATAATGATAGGCGTCTTGTATAATGCAGTTTCAAAATAAGAAAGAAACTTGAGAATAAAAATCTTAATTCATTTATATTTCATAAATGATACAAAAGTCTTTCAATAAACTTACAACACAAAGAAACTATAGCGGAATCCTCAAATCTGAGAGAATTTATAGAGATGTTGGAAACTTGCATCTATCTTCCTCTTTCACACAGATCATATATCAATAACAGATCGTTACAATATATAAACAACTTTCTTATTGTATTTCTGAAGGATTCACTAAGAGGAAGAAGTTAAGAAACGTTTCCTAAATTAGGCAGAATGAATCCATCTACCTGAAGCTACATCATGTTTCAGCATTTTAATCTTGCAAAGATTGTCCTAAAAAATTTTTTCTTTTGGATTTAAAAACTATTCAAGTAGATAGGCATAGACGAAACCAAAATTAAAAATGATCGATTTTCGACGCCTATGTAAAGTAAACATGATAAATAGCAACATAGTAAAATAACCTCGCGATTAACTAGCATTAACTTTACTGTATAATTTAAACTGCGACATACGAGAATCTAATTCTATATAAATTTCATATTTAATGATGATCAATTTCTTTTTTTTTTCTTTTTGTTTGTTTGATGTCTTTACGAATAATAATTCATCTTTGATATACATGCAAGATTAATCAAATACTACGACAGGCTTCTCTTATTTATCAAAATTAAGTTTGCTTGTTTGAATCTATTGTTAAGATAAGTAAAAAAAAAAAAAAAAGAAGTTCATGCATGATGGATTATTATTATTTATTCAACATTTCTCGACATTCTTTTGAAATTTTTCTTTCGAAATATAATATTAATTTATACAGAAATCAGTTTGTTTTAAATGTATCTTAATTGACGTGCAACTGACGTTTTTTGATGTCTATGTTGAATTACGCTTTAATGACTAATCAGACTGTGATTTAAATGCCTACATGAATCAACTTGAAATGACGTTTTCATCATTGTTCGGTGTCAACTGTACAAATGATTTGATAATAGTTTTAAAAAAGAAAAAAAAAACTTCATTCATTCTTCATGATTAGAAATGACTTCATTTTTTCCTTCTTCATTCAACGTCGGTCAAAAAAAAATCTCTTTTTCTTCTTTTCTCACTCGTTCGTAACTTGGTTTGGTCGGGCAGTTGAACTGCTCTATTACTTTACATATACTTTTGACTTATTCTCTTTTTTTTCTCCTCTCTTGTTCAAATGGACACGCAATTTAAAGTAAAATAAGAAAGAAAAAAAAAGTGAGAGTACAGACGGATATAATGGTTGAATACGTCACAGCACTATTTTAACATGTAATATAGGTAAACCATTCTTTTTTTTTTTGCAATAACTTATTCTGGGAAATTTATTTTTAATGAAGATAAGTCTTACTTTTTTTGAACTATATGGCTATCTCAGCCTTTTTTTTCTGTATGTTTGTATACACTAATTTCCTTTTTTATGTGTGTCATCGTTTAACAAAGATGAAGAGCCATGTCAATGTTAGATAGGTCACCTAATGAACAACCATCGTTTGTAAAATCATCATCAATATTGAGAAAAGGATTTGTCTTTTGTGAAAAAAAAGAAGAAATGATCCTGCTTGACATATCAAAAAAAAAAGAAACCAGTTCATAGAGATTATATGACTGTATTTTATATTTGCTTATTTCAATGAATTTATGGGCAATGAATCGATTTCAAATGGATGAATGATTATGATCGATTATTGAGCGAATGAATATTGATAGTAAAGAAAACCAGTAAGTAGATTTATAATTAACTTTTGAAATATTCTAAAATATTTTTTAAAGGAGATTTCGTATCTGTCATATATTGAAAAGAGAAATGGGTCGTTAATTATTTGAGTAGTTCATATATTGGCATTTTATAATAAGAAAAAAAGAAAATGAAAAGTGCATAAATTGATTTTATTTATTCAACTTTAACGTACTCCTCTCAGGCATAGCACTTAATATATTCTTGTACATGTAATTCTTTTTGGTGATTTCACTGTCTCACTTGGTGGTATTCTCAGCAGATGTATATACATAGGGAAGACCTCTCGACCTTCATTTTACTTGCAGACTCATTAGAATTACTGTTCTTTTTTTTTTCTTTCTTTTTTTCCTTGTCGGCACACGTACCACTTATATCTTCAAGGTTTTTACCCTCGGTGCCAGAACGCAGATGCTCTATAAAAGCCATTAGAGTAGGTGACCCAGTTATTATCTTTTCTTTCATAACGTAAAAAAATTCTGAAGTAGAAGAATCAGAAAAAAAAAGAAACGATTACATCATTTAAGACCTTGTGTTTACACATAAATGAGTTCATACGTAGTTCAATCTATACTAATTTGTTGCTTCTTTTATCTAGGGAAAAATAGGAAAATAAATTGCTAATATCGATTTTTTTTAATATTGAATATGTTGCATTAAAGTACACACTTATCAGATTGTCTCTTTCACATTTATTGAAGATTAAAAATCGACATCAAGTGAATACAAATGAATTGAATAAAAGATAAAATAAATGGTACTGATAAAATATATGTATATGTGTATATATATTTATATGTGTAAACACGTCATTCGTTATCTTACTTTTTATTTGAGAATTAAATCAAGAAGAAAATATTTTTGTTCTTAACGTAAAACTAAAGTTAAAATAAACTTTATCATATTTTTTATTTTTCTTGGCTGAAGACGAATATGTTATTTGATTTGGTCATCACATTTTCATTCAGTTTTTTTTTTTATTTGCTTTTCTTTTTCTCTTTCCTCTTTTAGATAGACTATCGGTCACCCTTCCCAACCGATCGTTAACATCATACATATTTTTCGTTGTTGTTGTTGTTAATGTTCATCATATATACACCTTGGAGAAAGAAAAAAACAGAACAACGAACATCACTATCGTCTTATCTTCTTATGTCGAATATTGAGGTTAACAAATATATATATATTGCTTTTTCTTTTTGCTACTGTTACTTTAATAAAGATGAATGTATCGAAATGATGTAATAGTTATAACTAACAGGTGCCTCTTTTGTTTAGGTCTTTGAATATTTCTTTGTATTTTTTTGAAGAGTATCATTCAAAAATGGACACGAATCGCTTTGTTTTTATTGCTCCAGACGGACATCGACCGATTGATTGTATACCGTTCTTTTCTTCTCACCTTCATTCAAGAGCCACATATTGAATAGTTTTGATAAAGAAGTGAAAATAAATAAATCGAGTAAGAGAAAAAAAAAATGAGTAGAGAATCACATTACGGCGATGCCTAGTGGTAATTGTAATCAATCCATTCAAAGAAAAATCTCTTTCTAGGCAACAATTCACTATGCAAATTAATATCAGTTTTTTATGTATTTTAATTCTTTCTTTTTGTTATCAAACTAGATGTTTTTTAGAAAATTTTCTTTTTTTATACATTTAATCTGTGTTTTTTTTCTTCAGATGATTAAGTAAAATAAAAACAAAAAAAAAATAAAAATAAATGGAAAGTGAAATAATCCAAATGAATACAGTACAACATCAACAAGATGAAAAAGATGATAGTGGAATTGAACAAGATAATAGTTTTATTTATATTCGAATAGCTGTTGAAGATCATAATTTACAAAAAGTTCTCAAATTTAATTTGGATGATACTATATGGAGTGCTAAACAAAAAGTTTTACAAGTTCTTGTTCGAGTAAAGAACTATTATATTTTATAAATCAAAAAATATAAATATGTTTATTTTATAGGAATTAATTGATGGTTTAAATTTTGGATTATATTTACCACCATGTAATGGTCGAGCAGGAAAATTTCTTGATGAATCTCGTTGTCTTAGAGAATATCCATTAAGTGGACCTGTTAGTTATCTTGAAGTAAATATTGTGTTTTCTTTTTTTTCAATAAAACTTTTAAAAGGAGAAAATTTTTTTTTATAAATATATTTTAGTTTAAATATAAAAGACGTGTTTATAAAGCAATTCATCTTGTTCAGAAAAACATTAATTCCAAAGTATATCTTTTTTTTTATTAAATAATATATATTTTAAATTTATTTTATATTAATAAAAACAAAAACAAAAATAGGTTAGCACAAAAAAATTTATCGATTGTATCAAAACAAATCAAGTTTCAAAAGTTTCTCGATATTTAGAAAAAGGATTTGATCCAAATATTTATATTTCTAATGATGGTAAGTGAATAATGGATTTCTATTAGAAATGAATTTAAGAATTTAAACTTATTTGTAAAGATTAAAGAATAATCAATTAAAATTATGTGAAATACAATCGAAAGGGAACAGATTTAATGATTTCAATTTTTTCGAACTATCGAAGTCTAGTCATGACAGATGTTGATATACGATCATAGATTGTATATCAATAGCGTCTCGTTATAATATATGAACAACTTTCTTATTGCATTTGTGAAGGATTAAGGAAAAGGATAAGGAAGAAATGTGTCCCAAAACAAATAGAATAAAACAATCTCCTTGTGATTAACAATCTCAGCTACTTCATGTTTTATATTTTAATCTCAGAAAGCATCACGCTAAACAACTTCTTAAGAAATATTTATGACACGAAAAACATATTAAGAAATAAAGAATTAAATTTGATATCCTGTGTTAGATTCAAAGTAGTATCATACTATATCGATCAATAAATCTATTGTTATGATTACGAGATCGTAGATTCTATGAAAAACACATTTTTATAGTAAATAAAATATTTTTTTCACGGTAGAGAAGGTGTAGAAGATCATGAGCATATGTTTCGATGTGGTTGAAATATCGATTTGTTCCATAATTGTCAGATTTTCACGATAATATCTGAATCAGACTGACTTGTTAGCAAAATTTTGGAATTTATGGATCAATTATTTGTTTGACACAACGTAGTATGATAGTATAATGATATTTATCATGAGCTTTGTGTTATATAAGAAAGCGAACAATGATCGATACGATAATTAGTTCTAACAAAAAATTGTATTCAGAACAAAAGAACAAAAAAGTCTTCAACCTAGGCGAATAAACTAAACCAATGTAGAAAAGACCGATGGCGCTATTAATAAACTTCAAATCATCTAATTGAAATCTTGATATGAGGAAAAGTTTTAGATCAAACGTTAAATATTTGATTTTATCCAAGAAGAATGGATACTGCAGAAAAAATTCGATATTCTAGCTAAAGTTCAATCATAGACTCAATAATTAATTTATGTTTATGAATTTGTTTTGTTTTTTTTAGAAACTGCATTATCATGTGCATGTATTGATTTAATTGAACCACGATCAATGATTATGACATTAGTTAATGGTGGTGCTCATTTAGATTTTCGAACACGTAGTGGTGGTTTTACACCACTTCATAAATCTGCAATCCACAATCGTAAAGAATCTATTGTCGTATGTTGAAAATTTATTTTCTTTCATATTCAAGAACAAAAAAAAAAACATCATTTTTTATTTGTTTCTTTCTTTTTTTTTTTTTTATATAAAAAAGACTCTTCTTGAACTTGGTGCATCACCAAATGTCTATGATGAAAAAGGTTTAACACCTCTTTATCATACAATTTTAAATAATCGAAATGAATTAATAAATGATTCATCATATTGTTGTCTATTATTATTACAAGATCATTCAATTGTAAATTGTCATGATGATTATTTATCGACTGAATTACATCAAGCATGTCGTCTTGGTCTTGTTCAACATATTGAACATTTACTTTTCTATCGAGCTGATATGAATGCAACTAATATAGCTGGTAATACTCCATTACATATATGTGCTGCATCAAATCAAGTAATTTTTTATTAAGAATAAATTCAATGATTTAGATTTTTGAAAAATTATAACTTTTTTTTTTGTTTTCTTTTAGGAAGCTTGTGCTCGTGTATTACTTTTTCGTGGTGCTGACACAACAATTGTAAATAAATCTAATCAAACTCCATATGAACTTGCATTAGTATCTCAAAATTGTACAATTGCAACAATAATTCAATCTCATAAGCCAAATCATGTTGTACCATATCGAGAAACACCATTAATTAATCCAAAACGTCGTTCTATATATATTGAAAAAGATAAAAATCGAACACGATCATCATCAACTACAACACCATCATTATCATTAACAAATCGATCACAAAGTATGCCAAAATTAAATAGTATTAATATTTTACCTCGAAGTAATTCACCATCAAATGAAAATCTTTCTCAACAACATCCATCAAGTCGTAGTTCATCACCAAAATCATTTAGTGTTAATAGTGATCATGGAATTGGAAGTGAATGTACATCACATTTATCATCAAGTAGGTTTACAGATTGTTTTTCTTTTTTTTTTATTAAATTTTTCTTTTTAAATAAAGATTCTCCAAATGCGATTAATGGTTGTTATGTATATAAACGGAAACGTTTATATGCAGCAGCACCCGGTCGAAAATGTATGTGTATTAAATCTTATCGAACAAATTCATCTGGAGAATTATCATTGACAAAAGGAGATATTGTTGAAAGTAAGATTAAATATTCTTTTTTTTCCTTTTTTCATTGGAAAATATGAAAAATTTTCTTTTAGTTTTAAGTGTTGGTGAACAAGGATATTTAGAAGGAAGATGTAAAAATATTGAAGGATGGTTTCCGAGTAATCATGTTCAAGATATTTGTGTTCTTAGTAAGAGTTTTTCTTTTTTCGTGTTTTTCAATATAAAAATCAACGTTAACTTTTGAACGGTAGTATAGACAAATTTACACTATTTGAAGATTGTTCTCTAAGTGACATAAACGAGAGATCACTGTTTAGAAGTTGACGAATAGAAAATGTGAATGATTTAATCTAATTGTGTTGAGCTTCTTCCTATTATTATATTACACATAATTTGGAAATAATACGATGTAAATTTTTATTACATTATGTATTAGAAAAATGAGACATTTCATAACACTGAATAATGAACAGTTGAGAAATTACTCGATAGTTTATCGGACTTGACAAGAAAGTGTCAGTATGAGATGAGTACAATATGCATTAGTGAAATATTTATAAAAATGAGAAATTCTCATTTGCTAATAAAGAGTTAGTCTACATTTTAACGTATCTACATTGAGACTCAAGAAATATTGATAATAGACGAATTTATGAATCATTAAAGTACTGTAGTGAATGCATCACTTAGGTTATCTGATGATATGAAATGAGCGAAGTATAGAAATCAATTTTTGGTCCATCAGTGACCATCATAATCCGCATCAAAGTTCACAGACCGTCTGAAAACGCCATTCTACCGAGTCTTGTGCACTTCTATAATTTACCCATACACCTCAAGTACTTAACCGAATACTCTGCTCAAAATTGCCTCAGTTGAGAGGTACTTGAAAGGGCTTGTGAGTAGTCTCTCAAATTTTTTTCTCGAGTTATTTGATTTATATTTAAATCTATACATTAAATTATCAGATAGACATATAAGTGAACTCATAATAAATTAAGATGAAAAATAAAATAACCAAATAATGATCATGTTCAAGCATACAGATAAATAATCGTAAAAAAAATTTGATGATTCAAGAACAGTCCCTATTTAATTTTCTTTTTTTAAAACTACCGTTCAAAAGATCTGAAACTTTCTTTACATAATTTTGAAATCTTAAATAAAACTTCTTTTTTAAAGATAATGGTGACATGACAAATGACGACACAATAGTGATTAGTCGTGATGCTTTATCCGCCTTAATGATAAATAATGACACATATACACCACGTACTGTTGTTTTACAACGAGGAAAAAAAGGTTTTGGCTTTGTTCTTCGAGGTTCACTAAGTAAGTTTTTTGTTTTACTATCGATGAATTATTCTTTTACTTTTATTTATTTTAAATACAGTTACAGGAAAATTATTTCAACCAACACCATCATTTCCTGCTCTTCAATTTCTTGATAGTATTGAACGAGGAAGTAATGCTGATAAAGCAGGTCTTAAAAAAAATGATTATGTTCTTGAAGTAAATTTTAATAAATATGTTATCGTTATTTATTTTTTTCTCATTCTTCTATTTAAATAATATTTAGATCAATGGTATTAATGTAACTTCTATGCCACATGAAGAATGTGTTAATTTAATAAAACGAGCTGGAGATACATTAGCATTAAAAATTGTAACAGCAAATATATCATCAACAATCCATTCTAATCATGATTCACAATCACATTATACTAATTTTCAATCATTACCTTATCGACGTAAAGGTAAATTTCTTTTTTTTTTTTGGTCTTTTGTTTTAGAAATAAAACAAAAAATTTTCTTTCAGCACCCCTTCATCCCAGTTTTGAAAAACCATTTGGTGGTATGTTGATATTCTTTTGTTTGGCACGAACTTCTTTCTTTTTTCTGAATATAACTTCCTCACTTGCTTTAGCCTTTTCATTATCAAAAAAATCGCTTCCACTTTTTCAATCATTGATTATGAAGAAAACAGAACATAATACCGTTTTAGGTATTGACACAAAAACAAAAAAAAATAATAAAGCACTTAATTATAATAACCTAACTTCATGAAGTTTTCACTAAAAAGAAGCTAAATAATAATAATAATATTTTAACATGTTTTATTTTTATTTCTTTCGTAGAAGATCTTGATCGAACATTAGCAGAATATGAATATGGTAGTATGTCTGAAGCATATGTATCAATATCAAAACGACCAATTGAAAATATTCGTAATGGTTGTTCATCTCTTCGTATGAAGTAAAAAAAAAAACAAAATCTTTATATTTATAATGACATAATATTTTTTTTTTAATAATCAATTTTGTTTTTTTTTTTCAAAGAAATAAACCAATTGTACCTGAACGTGATTCTTCACTTTATGATTTTTTTACTAATAATCAAAATCAACAAGTTTATAATAGATTTCAACCACTTATACCAGCAATAAGTGTACCAAATTTATCATCAATAACAAATAATCGTTGTAATTCAAATTCATCATCAAATGAAGCTGATGAAGAATTATCTTTATCATCAATGAACAGTAATCAAATTGTTACAACAACAAATTTAATTGAAGAGAATGGAATTGGAATTTATATGACACCATCATTATCTCTTAGTACAACGAATATGTCAACATTTAAAACAACATCAACTAATCATTTACCTTCGAAACCAAGTGAAATTAAAAGACGATCAAATAATCGAAAACAAATTTCAACAACAGTTAATTTAAATAATAATACTTTATCTAAAACAATTGAGAATGAAACTTCTATTCCACCACCACCACCACCATTTCCAACTGATTTTGATTCGATAAATAAAATAATTGAACATCAACTTTCACCAACAACAGAACCAAAACAAATCAAAATTGAACCGGTTGTAACAACAACGAAAGATGATTTTCAAATGCAAATTGAACAAGCAAAAAATCGTTTGAAAAAGATAAATATTGAAACATCATCAAAAACAAATATTTTATCATCAACAAAATCAAATGTACCGAGCAAATCATCACATCAAAATAATTCTAGTAATTATCTTCTTTTATTTTTCACTAATTTTTCATAGTTGATAGACAAACATCATAAGAAAATTCGTAGAAACTTCTGACAAAACGGAACACTTTTAGTTCCACTTGTTAGAGTTTTTCCTAGTCTTATCCTGCCCTTTTTCGAAGATTTTCGAAAATGACAATATGAAGTTTTCTTCATTATTTTCGAATATAGTTTATTGATTTCTCATGATAGTTAAATAAAAAGTTTCATGTAAGCAAAAAAAAAATGCCATTAACAATGTTGCTAATCAAATCTCTCTTCGAAAACTCTTATGTAAAGTTCAGTGATCATTTGTCCTACCAGTTCAATATTGATTCTTCTCTATCAAAACTTAAGAATGAAGACTTACTTTTTGCTGAATTTTTTAGCTCCTGTTAACCTTGAAAAAATATCGAGAAAGAAGAAAAAATAAACCTATCTTTCAGCTATATGGTAGTATAGAGTACTGCCTAATAAGCAGGTTCAATAGCCCAACATCTTCGCTACAACTAATACTAGATACAACGCCGAAAAGAAGACTAGTCTGACGCAGGTGTTGTCCGACACTCGTCAAGAGAGAATGGGAGTACATAGACATTATTTATTTTCTATGAAAAATAAGGTTTTTTTCATTTTCGATATCAGCTTCTTGTACTCAAAAATAAGATTAATAAAAAAGAAAAACTTCTTTGCAATGAAAAATCTTGTAAGACAACTTTTTATTTCAAAAATTAACAACTGTTATATGACTTGCACGTAGTTTTTCATGCGAACTCCAAGTATTTCTGTGATAAAGAAATCACGAATAATCAAATATAGAAGAATGTTCTCTAAAATTTTTGTGATATCGACTTGGTGCAACAAAGTAGTGGCCAATTTTACTGAAGATGTGTTTTCAGAAAACGCTTAGTGTTGGAACAGTAATTATTTTTTTCAGAACGAAAACTTTTCATATAAATTCTTATTTTAGACTATGTGTAATTTATTGTGCAACTTATTTTTTTTTCCGAAAACTTGTTCTTTAATCAATTTGTATAAGTTATCATTGAAATCTCGAAAAAACTCGCTTTTATTTCTGAGACGTCCATTGGATAATGAAAATTTCACTTTAAAAAGGTGCCTTTCCAATTAGTTTTATATCAATCTAAATATATGTCAATATTTCACGTGAAACTTGTTTTGGTTTACTTTCATTGTAGCTAATTCGAATAATTACCGTTCACCAAGCTTTTATAACCCACCAGAATTAAAAAACATTATAATCGAAGACAAAACTCCTTCAAATGGATTTCCTCCTCCTCCATCACCTGGTACTCTTCGTCGTTCAGCAACCACAACAATAACAGCAACATCTATACAAAAAACATCTGTAATCGATCCTCGATTAGATGTTAATTTTTCTTCTGTAATTGCTCAACGTGCAGCAGCATCAAAAGCTCGTCGTCACGAAAATCCAATAGGTATTGAATATAATTCCAATGGATTACCACCATCAACAACATTTTATAATAATTGTATTACAACAAATGGAATTCAAACAAATAGTAAGTTGATTCATTGAAATAAAAGAGTAGATTAAATTATTTTTTCAGCTATTCATCATCATCATTATTGAACTTCATTCAAGATTTATTCTGTAAGAGACTCGTGTGTATATCATGGGGTTTATTTAATTCTTTTCGGGATTGTTTGTACATACATATATATATATATCTGTCTATATACATGTATATATATAAATTGCATGAATTGATCAATGTCAGAAAATAAACAATCGATTTTTTATGCATGAATATATATGTGTTTTAGTTATTGTCGTTGTGTGTTTCTCTTCAAATATAAAATTGTCGTAGTAGAAAATATTTCTTAGAATTTTTCATGAAGTTTTCGAGGAAAAGTAAATTTAAATAACATGAACTAATAAGCGAAAAAAAGTTAAGTTTAATAATCGATTGTTCAACAAACTTGACTCTTTCTTCACGCTAGTGTAAATCCAAGGGGGAAACAGCAGACTTTAATGAATCTCACTAAACTTCGAGAGAATTCATGAGGCATCATGGCTATAAATTAATAAAGAATGTATGTCTCAGCTGATCCATCCGATAATATGTTAACTAACTCGTGATATTAACCTGCTCTTGTAGCTAGTGTTGTTGGAGAGCTCAAGCTAATGAATCTGCGACTAGACACTATCCTATACCGTAAGGTATCGAAAAGACAGGACTATTCTTCTTTTCTTTATGAGACTTCAAGACTGAAATTCTTGCTGTTTTTCTCTGGGATAACTCATGTTAAATACTAATAATCAAATTAAGAAAAATGATCTTCTTATTGGCATGTCTTTGGGCTCTACTCATTCACATGCATATAACATAATATTGCTTATAGTTATCTATTTCTTTAATTTTACAAATAATTTCAATTATTTTAGATTCATCGTGTCCACAACGATTTAGTGCTACTGCTAATCAATTATTAGAGAATCTCAAACGTCGGAGTGGAAATATAACATCAATAGATCCTTTTATGAAAAATTATCATTAACAACAATTGTTTTTCTTTTTATTGCAACGAATTTTGTTTAAATGTGGACGTATAGTTGTTTTAATCAGTGATATTCACAGTCTAGATGTCTGTGTATTATTTGATATTGTCACCTTTGTTTTGTTTTTGTTTATATGTTTATTCTTCTCTTTGTTGGAATTTTTTGCACTCGCATCTTGTCCAGTCACCTTACACATTCCGTGCGTTTCAAAATCGGTTGCTTATTACAATATAAAAAAAAAAGAGATATACATTTAGAAAATCAAAAATATAAATCAGTGTGTTGTATGGTAGAAAGTTTTATTTTAGAATAATGAAAAGATAAATAAATGCATACAATCTCATGTACTTCGATCAATGATGAAGAATTTTTATGACAAAGAACACAAGTTCAGATTAATTGTTTGTTTATCGTTCTGCTAGGTATGGGTGTGGGTGGGTATGGGTTTATATCTGTGCAGCTACACCCACATCCTCTTGATGATGGCTGTTTAACCAGCCGAAACGTCGAAATAAAATTTTAAAAAAATTTTTTTTAATTATTTCATTTAAATGCAACTACTAAAAGCCGCTGTTATAAAATTAGTATTATTAACAAATTAGATTTTTTCAAAGATGAGAAAATATCAATAATTAATTACAAACATGTACATGTCATGTGAGCAATATTATTTTTATAACAGAAGTCAATCTAATATATAGATCGTATTGCAAGCACAGTAAGTTTTCTCAATTAAACTATTAGTCTTACAGTATCAGGAAGTGAATGCACTATAACAAAAGAATAATTAGATAAAATAAAAAAACAATGATTGCTAATGGAGTTTTTATGCATTCCATTATCAAGCGATTTACAAGTTGAACATGTTCAAAAATGAATTTTGATCATGTTAAATGACGGAATGTTGAACGTATTGTATTGATAAACCAAAAACTAATTTATTTGTTTCGTTTTTTTTACTATTCGACGTAAAATTCACTCCAGCTGCCGACCATAAGAATTTAAACTTTCATTTAACAATAACAAACAGAAGTCTCATAGATTGCTTTGTTACAAATGCAAGTTGAAAATAAATAACATAAGATAGTATTTATTCAAATACATAAATATTGCTGTAGATATTAATACAGTTTGTTGATAATGTACTATTTTATATATTCCATTTTTACAAAATTTCGCTGTATATTAAATATCATTAAATGTATCAAATTCATTATTTTGATCAATAAGAAGTGGTGGTGAGGAGAAGGGGCGGCAGTAACTACTACAGTTTTCTTTCTTGCTATCTATATTCATGAAGATTTTATCCAAAACGAAAAAAAAAGAATAAAAAATCTAGAAACAATTTTTTATAAATTTTTTATGCTTATTTTGTATTTTTTTCCCACTGAATAATAGTGTTCTAGATCATTTTCTACTGAAGATAATTCTTGTATTTCATTTATTTTAAATCAATGAATGCTAATATTAAACTATGAAAATATTTTCTATTTGATTTTGTCCATCAATAAGAGTTTCTTTCATTGTTTTTGCCGTTATTATTTTATCTCTAATAAAAGATAACCATTACAATTGAAAGTAAGTAAAAAACGAAAAAAAAAGAAATCCTTTTAAAAAAAAAAAGAGTTCTTTTACTACAGACATACGTAAAGATGTTACCTCTTTCAATTGATACGTAATTATAGTTAATAATGAGTAACTATGTGTCAGAGTATATGAGGGAAAAATTCAGAATCGACAATACCCTATAAACAACATCTATGGTGAACTTTTCAATAAGATCGAACTCAAAAAGTTTTCCTCTTCGAAATTTTCATGTTACGCTAACGAAAATTAAATGCAAGTTTTTGAAAAACCTATGCATATTCAGAAAAACTTTCGATAGAGATTGTTTAGCCTGAAGAGTTATCTAGAGAAATGTCTTAATTAGTTTTCGAAAATATTGCTGTCATTTGGAATATTTCAATGAATTGTTTTTGTCACAACAACATCAAGCATTTTCTCGAATTCCTATTTTTCAATTAATCAGACATAAATTAAAGTTATAATAATAAAATAAAAAGATATATCAATTCATACTTTAATTCAAGTTCTGTTTTATAATTATCTAGCTTTAATTAGACATGTCTCTCGATGGTATATTGGAATAAATGTCATAAAAATAGTCCTTTGTATGTACGCTTTCTAGGCTTATACTGTTGATGATCATCAACTCATTTTGATTTTATCAAAGCATAATAGAATTATATCTGAAATTCATATTGTATAACTAAAAAAACATATTGCCAAATTGAGAGACACGAGCATCCATATGGCTAGTGATATTTTTCTAACAATTTAGATTTTAAATGTTTAAGTTCAACTCATACTATTGACATATACTTATTTAATCATATTATTAATAAATAATTGAGAAAAATAAAATAATTAATTGAATACATCATTTTAAATTAAGAAAAAATTCTATAACTCATTGATACAGTATTGATGCTAACGAATTTCTTAAATTTTTCTACGAATATTCAAAACTCTTGCACGTCTTATCATTAAATGATGTTGATATCGAAGTCTAAGACAGCAATTAATAGTCGTTCAAGTAATTCAATATCTTTTATTACTAGAGTAGAATTTTTCATGAGTAGTTGATACCAGTTCATCTGTATGCTCGAAATGTAATAGATAATACTGTACGAATAGTTAATTATTGATAGGTACATAAACTTTGATGATGTAAAATGTCTCTTTACCCGATAGTTAAGGAGGTCTTTCATTATTTATCATTATCTGTTCTTCAACTATGCGAACAGCTTCACATCATACACAAATGAGTATTGATGTGTGCCGTCCATTTGAACTTTATTTCGTTTTACCAATTTTTTTTTCATTATTTGCTGTCATTGTTTGTCTGTTCTCCATATTGCGTACTTTACTGTTGCCATGAGCAGTACTTCACAAGAAAGCGATTGACGGAGAGAAATTTTAAAAAAATGAAAAAAAGCGAGAAAAAAGAAAAATAAGCAAACTCTTTTTACTTTGCACAAGTAACACAAGAGTTCTTCGACAAATAAACGACACATTTCGTCTATACAGCATGTAACCAAACTGCAAATTATTTTTATTGAAACTTTTTCAAAAAATTGTCTTTTGGCTATTGTATCTTGGTAAGTAACCTACTACTATGGTTCCTAAGCGTGTCTTCGAGTATTTTTTGAACGTCATAAGTATAACGGATGTCCTACTAGAATATTAATTACAAAGAATCGAGACAGAAATGAAATGGATATTTAGCAAGACTTTCGTTTATCTGATCGACTGATGATTTATTCCCAGTCGGAAGTTTATCGAGTATATTTAACTGTATGCATCGTACACAGTCTCATTAGTATAATGGTTCTATCTTGTAAAATTTGATCCAAATGTTAAATGATTAGGTTTCTATATTTGTGTCCTATTCTATTTATGAGCTTTCCATGATTGTAGATATTGAGATCGAAGTAATGTAACAGGTAATTTCTTAAGATAACCACTAAAGGCGACGGTTTCTTGCTTTGAAAGTTTACCTATGAAGAAGAATGAGTAGATCGTTAACAGCGAATGTGAAATGACTGATGTGTAAAAACTAAAGAAAATGTAAAGCTATGGTTGTGTGCACCATTTAGAAGAAAAAAAGAACTGCACGCAAGAATTCTCGACTGCAACGAATCATACAACAAAAGAAAAAAAATCAGATGAGTCTCATTAGAGCAAATCGTCATCATCGATCGTATTGGTAAATGTTATTAGTTGCTGAATACGGTGATGAACATTTATTCGACGAGCTTCAATAATAGTACGCATTGGAGCGTGTGGGTGTGGATCTAATTGAAAACCACACCCACACCTAAAGTGCGACTCCGCAGTTGTCTACCACCCACATCCACACTCACATCCAACCATTGTAGGGCTGTAATCCACACCCACACCCGCCACACATCCACACATCCACACCCAAACACACACATCCACACCCACACCCACACACCCGCACCCACATCCACACACCCGCACCCACATCCACACACCCACACTCACACTCACACACCCACACTCACACACCTACACCTACACCCAACCATTGCAGGTCTGTAACCCACACCCAACCATTGTAGGACTGTAACCCACACGCAACCATTGCAGGGCTATAACCCACACCCAACCATTGCAGGGCTGTAACCCACACCCAACCATTGCAGGGCTGTAACCCATACCCACACCCCACACCCACACTCACACCCCACACCCACACTCACACCCAACCATTGTAGGGCTATAACCCACACACA